TCCTCCCTCCTCCTCCCTCCTCCTCTTCCTCCTCCTCCTCTCTCTCTCTCTCTCCTCCTCCTCCCCCCCCCTCCCTCCCTCTTAAAATGCTCCAAGGCGAAAAGACTGTCATTTAAGCTGGAAAATCCGCAAGGGCGGAATCTCCGGATGGTGTGGAAAAACCATCGGTGTAAATTCACCAGTAATAATTCCACTGTAATATGTATCAAGTCAGCCGCCGTTGCCGTCGCCATCGTCGCCGCCGCCGCCGACGCCGGTCGTCCGAGTATTATTAGCGCGCTCGTAAACAGCGGCCCCGGAAGTAGTGACATTAAAGATTGCGGTCGCTTCCGTAGCCGGCGTGCGAGCCGGCGTTAATCCGCCGGATCTACCACTACCGCGCTGACCTTTTGTCGAACAATATGGCAGAAACGGTTGCGGACTCAATGGTCGTTATTTAGCGGAATGTATCGTGTAAACAAGTCACGCTGCATTCGTCCTCCCGGGAATTGCTTTCCTCGGAGTATCAATGCGAAAATTTACGTGCCGCCCCGACACATCAAATTAGTCAGAGAAAATACGCGATGTATTTGCAACACCCTCCGTATATACCGAAAATTCTTTCTAAAATTTTTTTTTCTTAAATTTTTTTTTGTTTTTTTTTTTTAATATTAAGGATAATGTAAGAACTATAAAGTATCGGGTTTGCTTGAAAAAACAAAGTTTGTCTCGTGAATTTCAGACTTTTATTATATTCATATATGAACATTATCGCTATCTAAAGGCACATATTGAGTTAGAATAATTTTCACTTTAGGAAAGTTCTGTCGCGCGTCGTTGTGTAGAACTAAAATTAGGCTCTTATAAATAAGTCGATCATGAAATCGATTTGTTATTTTTAATCCGTGTGCGTTAGGCCGCGAAGGCCTTCAGTGAGATAAATAACTCCATAATTAAGTCTACCAATCCATTTAAATCTTCTCTAAGAAAAAAAATCATCTTTGCGTTCTTAAAAAAATTACATCCTTACTACATCAACATTCATTATATTTCACAAAATATAATATAATGCATTGCATTATAATATATTAAATATTATAATTGAAGATTTCAACATGAGGAAATGCCAAAAATAAAGTCTTACATAAATTCATATTTTTGAATAATTGTATAAATGAAAATAAAATGCTCTCTGTTTTTTCTATATTTCAAGTATTCTTATAAATAGCAATTTAACTTCGATAATGTAGATAAATTATTTAATATTATTATAAACTATTATAACTATATTATCCCAATAGAATGTCAATTTTTTCAAATACTAGACTGCTATTTTTTTAATATTTTGAATATTCAAATATTATAAATATTAGAATATTTCATAATTACAATAAGCAAATAATAGTAAAATGATTATTAATAACAACTGACTTAAAATTGTTGGTGATATTGAAAAGAATATTAGTATTGAAAATAATATTGGATCGTGATATTTTAAGTATCATGAAATAGAGATTGTCATTTTTAGGCAATCTGCGGCGCGAACAATGACTAAAATTATGTCTTTATAAATAAGCCTATCATAAAATCGATTTGTTATTTTTTAATCTGTGTGTGCGTTAGCCCGCGAAGGTCCTTGCCAAGGTATTTTCCACGCGACGTTATTTTCGCCGTGCGTTTGACACATCATGCAGGATTGCGGTCTGGAAAATCGTAAAAACGGGGAAAATTCCGTGAGAAGTTAAAATCGATCAGAAAATACCGAGAAGAATCGGAGAAACTGATAATACTTACTGGATAAATACTTCTGGAATTTCTTATCGCGATGAGTGAAATCTAATTAAAAAAATCATTCGATCAACAATTCTGTCTTTAAATATTACGCAAATCATAAAAAATACGGGTGAAAACTATAATTATAAAATAAATATGATAAGATAGAGTAAATATATAAAAGAAATATGTGAAGAAAGAGAAATGGAGAATGAAAAAGAGAGGGGAGAGATGATAAAAAAGATGATGGCATACGATAATGAAGCTGTTTTCTTGCGTGTGCGTCGATCTTTATTTTCATTTTATTTATTCAGTCTGCTTCGTCCTTCTTTCTCGACTTGCGACCGCTTTTATACATATACGTGTCATATTGTAATCAGGCGGGTAACGACAAGTAATGAATCTTGTCGCGTATCGCCGTTTAACGGGGCGCAATCGATTTAGTCGGCCGCATAGTAGGAGAACGTTGTTCCAGGATGTATCCTGATAATCTTTAATTATCCTCATTGGCAAGTTACAGTAAATTTACGCGCGTTCGATATATAGAGAGCATCTGCATATTCTCCGTACGAATCCTACACGTAGTGTCGCTCGTTGTGTACGGTATGTGTATACACACACACACACACACACACACACACACACACACACACACACACATATATATATGTAGTGGTGTTGTGTGTGTGTGTGTGTGTGTGTGTGTGTGTGTGTGTGTGTGTGTGTGTGTGTGTGTGTGTGTGTGCACAACCACGCACGCGGACACGCCCGCGCGTGGATGCAACGGATAACATGCAATTACGGGCCGTGTCATCTACCTTGTCTTGTCCCCGTTCTGTGCGCGCGCGGCGCGTTATCTCTCGTGGAACGCCTGCGGCATGCGTGGCGAAAACGACGAGAGCATGCCGAGTATGTCGATAACGAAACGTTACAGGCATAAGCCCCCGTGACGTGCCTCATACAATGTCGATCGACAGTGACGAAACATCCTGCGAGGATGAACCTTTGCCGGTGAGTTCCTTCGACGCGTCGAGTTATCCTGTTATCGCGATTGATCAATCGACGGATTGTCGCGGAATTGTAGGCAATTGACGTGAAATTTCGTTGCTACAGGATAAAAGAAAAACATCTAACATCTAACATTCTAAATCTTAATATTTGAAAGAGACTTTTTAATCCTATCCTCCCTCCCTCATTAATTATACATGTTTAAACGTATGTAAAAACAATTTTATCAACAAAAAAAAGATTTTATTATTAGCTTTAAAATGCATATAAAAATATTATTAAACTGAGATATTAAGAAGAATTAAAAATAACGTCAGAAATAACGTCAGAAGAAATAGCGCCACATAGTGTTACAAAAATGGGAAATGGTTTGAAATATATTTTGTAAGTTCCTTTTGTTCGAAAATCATTATTTTAATCGCCTTATTTTCTAAAATATCATAATAGCAGTATCGAAATGCTATTATTATAATAAATTCACATGCTAAAAGAATTTTTGACTGTACCGATCGTAATATCCGTTTGCGCATAATTAAGAATTCAGGTATTTCATAAACGTGCATTAAAATCCATAATGCAAAGTCATAAGTTAACGCAAGAATATGTATTTAATATAATTAAAAGTAACTAATTTAATAAAAATATAATTTTTATATGTAATTATCGAGGACTTTTTTAGACGATTAACTAGCTTGAAAATAGCACGCAACTATCCAATAACTAACCCTTAGGTTTTAAGCAATATCGGATGAGGTGGCGAATAATTAATACGGAATCCAAAGTTCGTGCTTATAACGCACATAAGGGCTGTCAGATAAGACGGTCAATCTATTGACAGGAAAGACGATCCCATTAAGCTAATGGAACTGATCGTCACGAAGGATTTTTGCTTGGATACGTGCAAATACATGATCGAGGTGTAGACCGAAAGAAAGAGAGGAAGAGAGAAAGAGACAGAGAGAGGAGGGAGGAGGAACGCGTGAGAGGGAGGGAGAGAGAGAGAGAGAGAGAGAGAGAGAGAGAGAGAGAGAGAGAGAGAGAGTAGAGACGACGACGAGACGAGAGAGACGACGACGACGAC